TGAGAGGCAGTGCTACTCCCTGGAAGTCTCTGATAAGCACTGCTAAGCCTTGCTGAGCCTTACTCAGCCGTGCTCAGCATTGCTAAGATTTGCTACGCCATGGTAAGCTTTGGTAAACCCTGGGAAGCCCTGCTAAGCTTTGCTAAGCCTTGGGCTCTGCATCGTAAGAAGGAATCCGTGGTACGTAAGGAACCCTTCGTAGGAGGAGGAGGAGGAGGAGGAGGTGGAAGAAGAGGAGGAGGAGTACGTACGAGGAGAACGAGGAAGAAAATTGTCTGCGCCCCTGAAAAATTAAAGGGAACAAGCAAACGGTGAACCCCCACCCAATCTTTTTTCCGGAGGGTGGTGCTTGTGGTGTGTGTGGGGGGGGGAACAACACGCCATGTCTCTTCTGAGTAGGAGGAGAAGAGGAGAGGAGGAAGACGCAGAGCATTCAAACACGCACGCGCGAATTCAGCTTGAAAACCTCGTGCGCGCGCCCTGCGACCCCGGTTTTCGAAACAGGAGGGAGGGGGCAACGGGAACGAAGGAACGCGGGGCGCTGTGTCTTCAAGAGGAGGACCCAACATCACAAGATGGTTGGGAAAAGAAGAGTAGCAGGAGGTGGTGAACTACATAGCTTAGGAAAGTGGTGGTAGCAAGCCTGATGTAAGTCTGTGCGTAGCATAGTGTAGCAGCATGCGGGTGCAATCCGGGACATAGCTCATACCACAAGTCGGTTCCCGCCGTGTCCGCTTCAGCAGTGCCAGCGCTTGCGATACCGAAACCGCTTGGCTCGAGCATCCGAGCGTGGAGGAAAAGAGCGCCCCTCAGCCTTTCCTCCCATCTGCGCTCACCCCCGCGAGTTTCGCACTCGCGCATGGTAGCGGAGCTGGCTGGCGGTCTGAATCCGCGGCTCCACCTAGGCGGCGGGCAGCTCCGCGCCTGGGCAGGCCACTGGGCAGCGGTGAGCCCCGCGCCTGGTGAGGCCCCGCGGCCCGCGGCACGCCCGCGGTCTGCGGCAGCGCATGCCCAGCAAGCGCGGCGGGCGCTCCCTCGGTGCTCGAGAGCGTCGCGCCGGCCGCAACGATGGAAGAGGGCGGCCCAGCGGCCGCAGGCCATGGAGGCCAGGCAGCAGGAGCTGGTCCAGGAGCTCCAGCGGCAGCAGCAGCGCGGGCAGGCCGCGGAGCAGGGCCTGCAAGCAGCGCAGGCCGAGCTCGGACAGCTTCGGGGGGCGCCCCCCGTAGCGCCGCAGCGTGCGCTAGCGGAGCACCTTGGCGGCGCGACCGTGGACACACGGACGCTCGGGAAGCCGTCGAGCTTCTCGGGCCGGCGCGAGGCGTGGAGGCAATGCCGCTTCGTCTTCGAAGCGTTCGCCTGCGCCGCGCACGCCAACATGGCGGAGCTTTTCCGCCGTGCGGAGGCGATGGGCGGCCAGGTCGTGGACGCTCACGATCTGGACGAGGGCACGCTCACCCTGAGCCGCCAGCTGTACTACATGCTGGTGATGCTCACCACGGACGACGCCCAGCGCCTGATCGGCAACGTGGAGCAGGGCAACGGCGCGGAGGCCTGGAGGCGCCTTTGCTGGGAGTACGAGCCCGACGTGCGAGTTCGCCACGGGGCGGTCCTCCACGCCCTCCTGCGGAGGGAGTTCGGAAAGGACCCCAACAGCGACCTGGCGGTGGAGATCGAGAGCTTCGAGAGGGACGTGCGGCGCTACGAGGAACAGAGCGGCAAGGTCTTGGACCAGGACGTGAAGATCTCCGTGCTCATCGGCGGGATGCTGAACGTGAAGGTCCGGGATCACCTCGAGCTCAACGCCGCGAGCTTGGACACGTACCAGCAGCTGCGAGCGGAGATCCTGAACTTTGCCGTGGCAAGGCGGGCGTGGACCCAGAACGTGGACGACCCCATGGTGATCGGTGCCGTGAAGGACGGCAAGGGCAAGACATCCAAGGGCAAGGGGAAGGACTCCAAAGGGAAAGGAAAGGAGTCCAAGGGCAAAGCCAAGACCAAGGACACCTACAACCCCGCCTCCGGCAAGGAGTGCCATTACTGCGGGAAGTCCAACCACTTCAAGAACGAGTGCAGGAAGCTCAAGGCGTGGACGCCAAAGGCAAGCCACTACCCGGAGCAGGAGCTCGCAGCGTGAGAGAGGAGGCCCGAGGAGGAGCAGGAGCAGGAGGAGCAGCGACAGGGGCAGCAGGAAGCAGCGGTGCCAGCACACAGTTGGCCCTGCCCGCGCCGGGCGTGCCGATGCCCATGAACGCGGCGTACCCGACGACCTTCCAGCCCATGTGGTACCCAGCTCAGGGGGGAGCGCCTCCAGCGCAGGGCATTTATTCCATTCACCCCCCAGGCGCCGTCGTCATGGGTCTGGGCCCCGTGCCGCCGGCTCTACCCGCACCGCCGGCAGGTCTTCCTCAAGGCCACGGCGCAACGTACAGCTCCTCTCAGGACGAGCCGTGGACGATCCACTGACGATCCGCATGATACAGCCTGCTGGCATGATTGCTGCGGTTGGCCATGGTGGTGTCGAGCTCGCCCTGCTGGACTCTGGGTCGGGTGTCGTGGCATGCCCTGTAGACTATGCCCCGGATGTTCCTATGCTGCCTCCTCGTGTGGATCTTCGTCCCATGGTGAGTGCCACGAGTGAGCCCACCATCAACTACGGCATCAAGAACATCACCTACGTGCTGGACAACGGGGAGGAGCTGGCCATCAAGTGGAACGTGACGAACGTCAACTGCCTGATCCTCTCGGCCTCCGCCCTGCGACGCGGAGGGGCGACTGTCGTCATCGCTCCGGAGCGTGAGATGCTCCATACGGCTAGTGGAGGCTGCGTCGACCTTGTCATGCAGTCGGACGTGCCGTGGCTGAGGCTCCGGCGGCAGGCCCGGGGTATCCGTGCGGCGCACGCCCCAACGGCCATCGAGGTAGGAGATCCCGCGTCTGCGGATGAGCCCGCGACTGCGGAGGAGGTGCGGCCCGCGCCTGCGGTAGGCCCCGCGGCGGCGGACGCTGTGCCTGTAGAGGCCCCTGTGCCTCCTGCGGCCCCGAAGGAGGCGTTACGATGCGTTCCTGCTCACCTGGACGCCTCTGAGGAGGCGAAGCCGCACCGATCCGTGAAGGTCCTCATCGGCCCCTCGGATCACGAGAAGGAGGAGCACTACTTGACCCACATCCCGTGTAGGTCATGGCGCAGCTACTGTACGCGAACTGCGGCCCCTGACGATCCTCATCATCCGACGCGCGCACCCGTTACGATGCCTTTGAAGCCCATTGTGATGATGGACTGCACGTTCGTGACCGACCCCCCGTTCGATACGATGACGATCTTGAACGTTTGCGACCAGGAGCTCGGGATGGTGCTGCCGCTGGCGGTGGACGAGAAGGGCCACATCGAGTACGCGATCCGCAGCGTCATCGAGTACCTCGGCTACTGGAGCAGGAAGGCCATAGTTTTGAGGGTCGACGGCGAGCCCGCCATCAAGGCGCTGGCGCAGGCGATACGCATCGGGCGTGCGGACCCCACCGTTTTGGAGATGAAGCCCCGGTGCTCCCCGGAGTCCATGGGCGCCGCAGAGAACATGAGCAGGGAGGTGAAGAACCTGCTGATTACCATGGTGCTGCACCTGAGGGACGAGGCCAAGGTCGAGCTCCACACTGGTCACCCGCTGGTGCCCTGGCTTGTGCGGCACTGCGGCTGGTGCATTTGCCTGTACCGCGTGCGCACGGACGGCCGGACAGCCTACGAGAGGTTGAAAGGCCGGCCATACAACGGCCAGATTGCCCTCTTCGGGGAGTGCCTGTGGTATCGGACCCCCGATGCCTCTCTCGTCTCTCGTCCCTGGACGAGCGTTGGACCGCGTGTATCTGGCTGGGTACAAGTTGGAAGACCGACGAGCACATCATCGTGCTCGGTAGCGAGGTGCGCCTAGCTAGATCTGTCCGCCGCAAGGCCCAAGGCAAACGGTGGAACAAGAAGATGCTGGACAAGGCGCTGTGCACCCCGTGGCTCCCGCGTCTGGACGCCCAGACCCCGGCTGTCCCGGCCGGAGCGCTACGTCACGAAGGCCCACCTCGACAAGTACATGGCCGCACCCCAGCATGCCCCGGCTGCGCCGGGCGCACGACGGGACACGGCGACGCCTGCAAGGCTCGCTTCTTGACAACCTGGGGGAAGGCGGATGAGGCACTATTCGGGGATGGACAGACCTCCCTTTAGTAAAACGTGGTTTAGTGAAAACGACCTCGGGCCCAAACCTGGCGGGCGCAAGCCTGGAAAATAACGGCCACGGCGCCCTCTCGAGAACCGAAAACGGACAATTCACCAATCGACGTGTCACTGTTGGGGGTTCTGTCCACCCCCGAACTATAGCGAGCAGCAGTGCCGCAGCTCCGGCGGCCTCCGTGGAGGCACCACGGCCAGCGGCACCCGATTCTTAACTCGAAGCTCCCCCAGGGCTCCCGGCGCCCGCTGGAGCCGCCCCCGATGCTGAGACGGCGGGCTCCTGTCGAGGATGCGGCCCCTGCCGCTCCACCAGGGGGCTGGCCCCGGCAACCCATGGCCCCGTCGTGGAGGCGGAGAGGGAGGCTGCGAGTGTCGCGGCGAAGCGCGGGAGGGAGGACCTGAGCTTCCAGGAGAGGGTCGAGCTCTTCGAGAGTGGCGGCGCTGAGGTCAGCGGCCCCGCATCTTCGAGGAGGCGCGTGATCGGCGCTCTGCACGTTTGTGGCCAGCCGTCCCTTGCGGAGGCCAGGAGCATCGCGACGCCGGTGGCCTACGTGGCGGCGCCAGATATCGGCACGCAGGACGTCAAGGACCACAAGACCGGCGAGGTGCTCGACCCCGAGCTCGTGCGTGCAGGCCGCGCACGGGAGCGCCAGAACATGATGGATGGGTGCCTCTTCGAGCGCGTGCCGATGAAGGACGCTAGGGGCAAGAAGGTGCGCAGCATGTGACTCGACGAGAAGCGCGTGCAGGACGGTGAGACCACCGTTCGTTCACGTTGCGCAACATGTACGACCGTTTGGACACGTACACGGCGACGCCCCCGCTGAAGTTCATCAAGTTGATGGTCTCGCGGGCTGCCTTGATAAGACGTCCTGATTCCAACGACTGGACCAGGGTGCTGGGGCTCTACGACATCGTGACGGCATTTTGGCACGCCGACTTGCCGCTAGACGAGCCGATCACGGTGATCCCGCCTAGAGGCGATGACCCAGGGATGGTGTGGCAGATGCTGAAGGCCATGTATGGGACACGCCGTGCGTCCCAGTTGTTCCTCGAGTTTATGGCGAAGGTCTTCGACCAGTGCGGCTACCAGGTATTGAAGACCAGCCGCCAGATCTTCTACTCGAAGCAGTACGACTCCTTGGCTGGTCTGTGGGGCGACGACATCATCGCCGAGGCGGAGATCGAGGGCATCGACCACCTTGACGCCATGATCAGCCAGCTTTGCAACATCAAGGTTCTCCCTTGCGTCGGGCCGGGCTTTTTTTTTTGGGGGGGGGGGGGGGGGCCGGGCTGTAGTTTAATGGGCCGTTACCTTAAACGTTACATATGCTATCTGCCTGGGTTTGGTTACGAGTGGAACGAGGACCCAAAGCACGTAATGATGTTGTTGGAGAGCACGGGCAAGCTCAAGGCGAAGCCCCAAGCGAGCCCATGCAGCAAGCACATCGGCAGGGACGATCCGGCGATCCTCGACGAGCTGCTCGACGGCGAGGCGCAGACCAAGTATCGTAGCGACACTGGTCGCGTGCTCTACGTGTCGTCCAGCCGCTTCGACATCCAGTACTCGGCCAAGGAACTGGGCGAGCAGATGTCTACGCCTCGCAGGCTAGGCAACGCCAGGCTGGACCGCTGCGCGCGGTACCTCACAGGATGCCCCTTCCTGGCGCTCGTCTTCAAGCACGAGCCGCAGGCAGGCGGCTCCTGGATCCCAGTCGACAGCAACTGGGCGGAGGAGCCGGGCCGTTATTCGACCCATGCGGGTTGCGAGTTTGTCGGCTCGCATTTGATCGAGTCCTGGGTCGTGACGGACCAGGTCCGCGCCCTCTCCAGCGCGGAAGCCGAGCTTTACGGTATCGTCGACGGTGCCACCAGAGGCATTATGACACAGAGCCTCTTCCAGGAGATCGCGGACATGCGTGGCGCCGGAACGGCGTGGTCGGTGACAGTCGGCAGCGATGCCAGCGCCGCCATCGGCATCAGCTCGAGGAGCGGCGTGGGGAAGACCCGCCACATCGAGACGCGATGGCTTTGGGTCCAAGACGCCGTCCGCGAAAAGTTTTCATCCTGAAGAAGATCCCCGGCGAGACCAACATCGCCGACCTGGGGACGAAGGCTCTCGAGCCGAAGAGGCACCAGGAGCTCATGAAGGGGCTCCCGCTGGCGAAACCCACCCGCCCGCGATTCTTGGCGGTGCCGGCGGATCTGGCAGCGACGCCTGAGACGCAGGAGGCGCAGTGGCAGGCGCCGTGCATTTGAATACCCGCTTCGTGACAGGGGGCCTGCGGCCCTGCCACCGCCTTGCAACAGCCGTGGCCGAGGCGGCTGTTGCCCAGGCTGCGGTTCGCCCCCGCGCCTGGGCCGCTGGTCAGCGGGCGCCCCTGCGACAGCGCCCGCGCCTGCGGCTCCAGGCCGCGACGGGGGATGAGCCTCGGGGAGGCGACCAGGACGCAGCCCAGAGGTGAGGCTGCAGGAGACCCCATCGCGCTGCGATGGATGAGCCTTCGGAGGTCCTGCACCAGGAGGCGTGGTGAGCCGGCGGAGGCGGCACGCTGCTGCTCCAGCCGATGAGGCCTTGTGAGGCCGAGGCCTGGGCTGACGGAAGATACCCCGCGCCCGGGACTCAGGCTAGTGTAGTGAGAGAGGGCAGTGCTCGGCGACTGTCCCGCGCCGCGCCCTGAGGAGGCGTGGTGAACTACATAGCTTAGGAAAGTGTTGGTAGCAAGCCTGGTGTAAGCCGGTGCATAGCATAGTGTAGCAGCATGCGGGTACAATCCGGGACATTGCTCACACCACAAGTCGGCTCCCGCCGTATCCGCTTCAGCAGTGCCAGCGCTTGCGATACCGAAACCGCTTGGCTCAAGCATCCGAGCGTGGAAGAGAAGGGCGCCCCTCAGCCTTTCCTCCCAGCTGCGCTCACTCCCGCGAGTTTCGTACCCGCGCAGGAGGATAGGAACAGAAAGAGAGGAGGAGCTGGGCAGAAGCCAAGCTGTGCGCGCAAGGACGGGGGCGAGGAGGGGGGTGAAATTGAGAGGGCGAGAAGGGGAAGGGCGGAAGGGGGGAGCAAGAGGAGGAACAGGGAGAGTAGGAGAATGAGGAACAGGAGGAGCAGGAAGATAACATAAAAAAGGCAGAAGGATAACATAATCAGGAGAAACAGGAGAGGAGAAATCCCTGCGGAGGCCACAAGGGACCGAGTGATGAGGAGTAGCAGCGTGAGGAGGGGGATATGCCGTCGTCTTGCTCCTCCTCATCCTCCCTATCCCTTACTCCTCCTCCTCCTCCTCCTGGTTATCCTCCTCCTCCTCCTCAGCATCATCAGCATCATCATCAGCACCATCATCATAAGCAGCATCATCACAATAATCATCATCATCATCATCATCATCATCATCATCATCATCATCATCATCATCATCAGCAGCAGCAGCAGCAGCATCAGCATCATCATCATCATCATCATCATCATCATCATCATCATCATCATCATCGTCATCATCGTCATCATCATCATCTCCTCCGCCTCCTCCTCATCATCATCGTACTCCTCGCATTGCTCCTCCTCCTCCTCCACCTCCTCCTCCTCCTCCTCCTCCTCCTCCTCCTCCCTGCTCGCGGTCGTCGCTGTCTTCGGCCTCCTCCTTCTGGCAAGGCCACCTGAGCTCGACGCGGGAACACGACACGAAGCTAAGCACCCACTACACCACACACTCGTTGCCGCCGCGCGCACCCGCACCAGGCGCGCCGACCCACCCGTCAGCCGACGCGGCGCCCGAGCCAGAGCGAGGGAGTCGCTGCTGCAAGACTGCATCTATCTGCTACAGTCATCGACCTGACCTAAGGAACGATAAATAAGGAACGAAGCCCCCTTTTTTATCCCAAGGAATAACGCATAAGGAACGATAAATTACAAACAACGCATAAGGATCTGTAAATAACGCATGCAAGCCTAGGGAACGACCGAGCCCCTTTTGAAAAGTAAGTGTTCCTTATTCAAGCCGCTCACTGTACTCGTCCTTCTCCGCCTTGGATTTCACACACACGCATCGCATACACGTCTTCACGCATCATCGTGCCGCTGGCCGGGCAGCATCCAAGGCAGAGCCTGTTGCGGCTGAAGTAGACAGGCGAGTGGCTCCGGCGACTTCAAACACTGCCAACTTAGCTGTGGGCGGCCAGATAGAGTGGCCGACCAGCATCATAATGGGGGAGGGAGAGGAGGGGGCGAAAGTGAAAGGAAAGAGGAGGGAGAGAGCTAACCAGCTCGCACTAGTGAGACGAGGTTTGAGGCGGCTGCAGTCACTTGCCTTCCTTGTCGGTTCCCTCCGCAGCGTCCGCCTCCTTCTTCTTCTCGTCCGCTTTATCCTCAGCGGGCTTCTCCTCCGGCTTATCTCCCGAGTCCTTCGCGGCGTCCTCCTTGACTTCCTTCTCGGCCTTGGGCTCGTCGGCCTTCTTGTCCTCGTTGCCCATATACTTCGACAGCTGGTCGTCCAAGTCTTTGTCGTTGGCCTTGCCCCCCTTGGCCGCCCTCTCCTTGGCCTCCGGCTTGGCCGAGGAGGCCTTCCTGCCGAAGTAGGCCTCGAGGCTGTCGTCGAGCGACTTCTCGGAGACGTCTCCGTCGCCGCTTCGCTTGCCGCCCCGCTTGCCCTTGCCCTTCTCGCTGTCCTTGCCCTTGCTCTTGCCCTTGTAGTCCCTGCCCCCGAAGCTGCTGTAGGGGTCCCTGCTCTTGCCCTTGCGGTCCCCCTTCTCCCAGTCCGACTTGCCCTTGCTGCTGGAGTCCACGAAGACCCAGTAGCCGCCCTTGCCGCTCTTGCCATAGCCATAATCGTCCTTGCCCTTCCCGTAGCCGTACCCCCCCTTGCCATAGCCCCTCGACGCAGGGGGAGATCGACTCCTGTCGCGACCCCATGACTTCATCCCGCCACCACGATCGTCCCGGTCATCCCTCCCGCGGTCTCCGTTGCGCTCGGTGCGCTTGCTCCCGGGCAGGCGGGTATCCTTCAGGAAGATGTCCTGGGAGTTGCAGAGCGGAGGCATGGCGGCGCTGTCGGACGGGGGATGGGAAGCTACCTGGCCAGAGCCTGAGCCAAAACAAAAGCTGCGATTCGACCTGGTGGCGAATGCAAAAATGATCGACGCGACAGTACTCGGCCACGCGCAGAGGGGGTTTGGGGGAGGGCTTCTTAGAAGCGCCCCTGCTTCTGAGAAACCCTCCCCCCTCCCTCAAACCCCCTTGTGAGCGCCGCCAAGAGGAGAAGGAGGAGGCGAAGAATGAGGAGGAGGAGGAGGAGGAGGAGGAGGAGGAGGAGGAGGAGGAGGAGGAGGAGGAGGAGAGGAGGAGGATAAGGAGGAGGAGAGGAGGAGGGGGGAGGGAGGAGGAGGGAGGAGAGGAGCAGAGGAGGAGCACAGGAGGGGGAGGAGGAGGAGGAGGAGGAGGAGGAGGAAGGGGGAGGGAAAAAGAGGAGGAGGGGGAGGGGGAGGAGGGGAGGAGGAGGAGGAGGAGGAGGAGGAGGGGAGGAGGAGGAGTAGGAGGAGGAGGAGGAGAGAGGAGGAGGGGAGGAGAGGGAGGAGGAGGGAGGAGAGAGGGGAGGAGAGGGAGGAGGAGGAGGAGGAGGAGGAGGAGGAGGAGGAGGGAAGGAGGAGGAGGAGGAGGAGGAGGAGGAGGAGGAGGAGGAGGAGGAGGAGGAGCGATGAGGAGGAGGAGGAGGAGGAGGTGAGGAGGAGGAGGAGGAGGAAGGAGGAGGAGGAGGAGGAGGAGGAGGAGGAGGAGGAGAGGAGGAGGAGGGGAGAGGAGGAGGAGGAGGGGAAGGAGAGGAGGAGGAGGAGGAGGCAGTCGCGCCGCAAAGCGCAGCAACACCCCCGACTTCGCCGAACTCCGCCGCGCCGCGCGCCCCGCGGTGCGCGGCGCGCGGCTATCTCTCCGCGCAGTCGCGCCGCCGCCGCCCCGGGAGGAGGGCGCCGCTCTGGCCCAGGCCTACCTCCCTCCTCCTCCCTTGGTCTCGTCCTCGTTCCTCCTCCTCCTCCTCCTCCTCCCTCTCCTCCTCCTCCTCCTCCTCCTGCGAGCGGCGAGGCACGGTCGCGGCCGCGCTTGCGCCCGCTCTGTCGCCGACGAGCGGCGCGACGAACCGGTGGTGCACCACGGCGATGCACCTCCCGGCCGGACGTCACGCCTAGCAGCTAGGCCCGGCCCCCGGCCGGATAGTCGCCCAGGTCCTCCAGCTCAGGCAGCGAGCTCGGCGGCCAGTGCCGCGCGGGCGCGCGGCCGCGCCGCCTCCGCCCCCAGCGCCGTGCGCAGCTGGCGCGCGGTGGCCGCCTGCAGGGCCACAGCCAGTTCCGCGCCCCAGCGGCGCGTGAGGGCGCCGGCCGCGGCAGCGGCGGCAGCGGGGTCGTCCCCTGCGAGCAGTTGCGCCCGGTCCCTCGCAAGCAGGCGCAGGTGGCGCAGGGCGGCTGGGCCGTGGCGCCCGCCCGTTTCGAGGGCGAGCGGCGCCATCCGCCAAGGCGCTCGCCCGGCAGGGTACCGAGCGTGTTTGTCCGCCTCGGCGCCCTTGTTGACGGCGCCGTCCCGCGCCGCGGCAGCCTGGAGCCCCTCGGCGTCGCCCGGCACGGCGTACCGCACGGTGACGTCCAGGAAGACTCGGGGGCAGTCAGCCCGCTGAATCTCCAGGTCGAGGATGGCTTCCTCGCGCCGGGCTGCGAGCGGGGCGCCGCAGGAGCAAGCCGCGCCCGCTGCCGGCCGGGTCGCCGCCGTGCCGCTCGCCGCGCAGCTGCTGCAGCGCCAGCGCCAGCGGTCCCAGGCGGGCACTGGCGTCTGGCGAGCCACCTGGTAGCCGCACTCGGCATGGACGTGCGCCCAAGCCGCTTCCAAGTCGCCGCTGCGTGCCTTGAGGCCCCCTCCGCGCGGGCACCGCCAGGCGTGGCGGCCCTTGGCGCAGAGCGGTTCGCCGCAGCGCCGGCCAGCCCGCTCCCCTGGCGGGGCCGCGTCCTGGCCTAGCAGGCAGCGCGTCGCTGAGCGGTAGGCGGCGTCTTCCAAGCGCTGGCGGGGCTCGCCTGGCGAGGCCGTCTGCCAGGCCGCGGAGCGCGGGCCGCCGCAGGAGCGAAGCAGCGCCCGGTCCTCATCCGAGTCCAGGGGGCCCAGCAAGGAGGTGTAAGTTTTTTGGTCGATCCTTGCAGTGGGCGTCCTCTGGAGCTTCTTCTGAGGCTCGGTGGCGAGCTCGGCCCAAGTGGGCAGCCTGTCAGGGCCGGCGCCCCAGCGAGGCGGC